TATGATTCTATGATTCCCTTCCAACCCAAACCCTTCTATGATTCTATGATTCTGCAGCTGCCGTAAGCGAAGCCACGAGAAACGGACCCGCTTGCTGTCGCCGGCCGCTCCGCGGTCGGTGTGAACGATTAATTACCGCCCGCAAACCCCGGCTGAGGACTCGCCCTTTGGTTTCTTCTCCAGGCCCTGAGGAAAGGCTGCGAGCCCAGAGGCTCGACCGCTCTCTCCGGCTACCTGCTGCTGTCTTCGCCCGGTGAATACGCCGCATCGCTCGTCGGTCTGTGCCAAGGGCTCGCAGGTAATTCCGTGGCGCGTCGGCGGTTAAGAAACAGGTAGTGGCTGAGGTGTGAGCAGAGCCCGGTTCAGGGCCTCGGAGCGTGAGAGGAGGACGAGGCGGACGCGCGAAGCGGGTTCTGTGTCCGGCCCGAGAGACCTCGCACCAAAAGACACCCGAGAAACTTCCTCGCGCGTAGGCAGAGCCGTAACCCTGGGGGCTGAACTTACGGCCTCGCCCCGGACTTGGTGCTTTTGAGCTCTCGCGCAGCTAAATCCGTTGTTTCCCTCGTTCCTCCGCATCCTCTGGCCTCTCCCCCGGCAGGGAGCTGTGCAGCTGCCGGCCGCCTGCGCCGCTTTACTCGGCCAGCTGGAAAGCTACGATTTTAAACCCAAGCGGCACGAAACCAGAAGCAGCTGCAGAGAAAACTTCGCCAGTGGCTGAAATTCATTTCAAGTGGTTTTCCCTGTTCGGCTCTTCGGTCTGCAGCCCTCTGGCTTTTATTGGAGAGCTGCCTGCTGGCAAAGGGCTTATATCTGGTTGTGAACGCGTGTAAATTAGCGTTGGGTTGGGTTGTTTTTTTTTAAAATTACGGACGGCACCGTTTAAAATAAAACACTTAATGGAACTGGGATCTTTCCAGGCTGCTGCAGATACTGGCTAAAAAGGCAGCGAGGCTTTACCGGTTTGCTCTCGGAACAAAACAGTCGTGCTCCTCCCCTGCAAGTGCTTCTTGCTGTTCGCCAAAACCCCTTATTTGTTGTGTCTAATAACGCTAAAAAAAAGAAAAGCTGCCCACCTTGGCAAAGGCCGCGCCGGCCGATCCCGTTCCGTTGGCGGTTCCCCGGCTTGAGGGCCGACGTCTGGCGGGGTGCGATCCCCCTCGTTGTCTAACGAGCGGCCGCGACGCCGCAGGCCTCGGAGCGCTCTCGAAGGACGCCGCCTGCTTTTGTCTGACGCTGCTTGCTTTTGTCTGGAAGCCGGTATTTCTGAATGAAAATACGAACGACGGCCTTCCCGCTAGGGAAGCCGCCCGCCGTCGAGAGAGAGAATTAATTGCAAATGGTAGCCGCGCCAGCGTACGTTGCGCTTCTTCCTCTCTCCTCTCCTCCCCCGAGGTGGCAGCCCCTTCGCCGACCCGCCGGGAGAGTTTCTGTTTTTCCTCTACCATCCCTTCCGGAGGCACTTCTGCTTCTGCGCAGACTCGGCGGGATCGCGGCGGATCTGGAGGGCCGCTCTTCGGGACGGCATTCGCTACCGCAGTACGGGTGAGGCTGCCGAAGCGGACGGGCGCTGCCTAACGAAGCGGCGAGATCCCGGAGCGTGAGCTCTCCGCCCTCGGGATCTTTTCACAGGGCCGGGGCAGGGCGAGCGGGGTCTCGCTACGTCTATGCCTGGGGCGGGGGGCGGCGGGAGCCGCTGGCGGCCTTCGCTCGGGATAGTTTTTAGCCGCTGCCTTCCCGCGGTTCCGCGTGGTTCGGTGGGAATTGCTCTGAGCGTCCTCGACGCAACGTCACCGGGACTAACTCGTCCTTTGTCCTCAGAATTACAGAGGAGGGATTCTCCGGAAGCGGAGGCGTTCCTCGAGGCTGTGCGGTTCTACAGGCAAGAGAGAGGCCGCTACGGGGCGGGGGATCTTCTCCTGGGGCCGGAACCTGAGGTGGGTAAAGCGTTGGGAGACTGGAGCGTTTCCAGCAAGGCTGTCGCTCCGAGGTGCTTTCATCCGCTCCTTTTGGGTTTTAGATCCTCGGAAACGTGCTAATGGAGGATCTGCTGCCGCTGCTGCGCTCTCAGGTGCTCCCGAGCATCAGAGGGTCGGAAAGGAGAAGGCAGCAGCTCTGGCT